AGACAGGTCATGCGGGACTCCGTCATAACTAATATTTTATTCTTCTGAAATTATATATTACTATTATAACTAGAGACAGTTAGACTACTATAAATTCATCTTAACGCAAATCTATTCTAGACAGGTCACGCGGGACTACGTCATAACTAATATTTTATTCTTCTGAAATTATATATTACTATTATAACTAGAGACAGTTAGACTACTATAAATGCATCTTAACGCAAATCTTATTCATGATATTTAATCTACGTTTTTTTCTTTCTTCTTTTGTTGAGTGGGAAAAGTTAGAAAGTCAATCCTTAAAAAAAATATTGAATTATTAATTTTTATAGTCACTTTCTGACATTATTTGGCATCCTTCAGAATATTAATTTCTTTATTTCCATCCTATTTTTGTCCTTGAAAATCACGTTATATGTTGTTCATTAATAAACATCGACATCTTTTTTAAATACATTTTTATATTCTATTACCCAATACACAGTAAACGGACGTTCCACATTGTTGTGTATTACGTAATTACCTATATAAGTGTACATAAAAAGAAGAGATAGCTTGAAGCAGGGGGAACAAGACACTGCATATGAAATCTGACAGAAAAATGTATTTCTTATGTACACTTCTTGCATCTTTCCGCAAAGTATTCAAGAAATACTAGTCACAGTTACCAATTAGAGACAAAAATCTAGTGATCTATGTTTTTGTAGTGCTAGATCAATATAGTCTATTATTTTCTAAGAGCAGATTACAAGGTTATAACTATGTTTATGTACAGTTTCAGTTTCTTTGTATATTTTTAATCAATTGCCTCCATTGGATTTCATATAAACCTGAACAACTGCCTAATCACTCTAAAACGTACCCATTCCACTTAACTGCTTCATAAACTTCAACTTATTAGTCACGAACGTAGTATGTAAAATGGCGCCCTTTTTCACCTGTATAAAAATGAAAATGGTTGGTTTACCTTTTTATTTGAAACAAGAGCTGGTACAGATGCTCGCTAATTCACTTACCATATAAGTACTTATGCTGAAAACAAAAATAATTACAACAGGCATTGCCTCTTCCGTTATTACTTTAATTGTTTTCATTTAATTTAATATGCACAGAATTAAAGTAGACTTGTTACCTAACTGTAACCGCATTCGTTGGCCCATTTATACTCCATAATAAAATTTTTAAATACACATGAACATTGAAAAGTTAAAGGTTTCTCTGTTAAGATTCAAAATTGGTCATATAATATTCAAAAACGTTCAGATAGGCTGAATAAGCTGATGATAGAGGATAAAGGTTCATTTATTTCGACTGAGAAAAGTGCTGAAAATAATTCTTGGAATAAATTTACAGTGACTTTACAGCACCCAACGTAACGTTATGTGAATGGACACCATTTGTAAAAATTGTGAAAATGTTCTCTCTAAGAATGTGAGCACTTTGTAAAGGTTGGAAAACACAAACCGTACATCATACTCAAGAACATTTGGTACTGTTTCGCTTTGCAAAAAAACAAACAAACAATCTCAACACTGGAGTGCTGGCTATTGGTCAAGTAGTTTGTGAAGTGACAAGAGTTGTATCACCCAATTTCTAGATTATGGCTGCACGTGGGTTTGGAAGCACCCAAGTGAACAATTCGACTGTGATTGCCTTGTATCAGACGTGTACAGTTGTCATCGGAATGTTACATTGTTTTTATATTGTTTGTAGTTGATGTTGGCTCGGAATGTTACATTGATGTTTCAATTCTTTGTATTGGATGTGGGACATTTTTATGGCGTGTTTGCAAACCTAAACGCCTATTGACAGCAAAATATCTTAAAACGAGCATGAAACCTACAAATAAAACACATACCTCTCAAGCTTGGTTTCAAAGCAGTATAATTGTTTTTAAGTGACCAATAAAATCAGCTGGAAGGGTTAATTTAAAAGATAGCATCACAGCCTTCCAGTCATTATTAACAAAGGTTTTGAAACAACATTGGAGAAATTACAATAGAAATCTGATTGATTGTAGATAAAAGTGTGCCTAATATAACACAACAGCCATTCAAACCAAAAGATCTGAAGGTATTAAACCTTGTCATGACAGAAACTATCTAGAATACTAATTTGTTTCTGGATATTTTTTGGCAGAGCATAAGGTCTAAAATATTGCCTATTTAAGAAATAAACCCGGTGGTTCAGCAGTATGCTTGAGAGCTTATAACATTGAAATTTGGAGTTACATCCCTGTTTGGAGAACACCAAGATAGCGCAATGTGCAGCTTTGTGCTTACCAAAAAACAACAAAAAAAAAACACTTATTAGAAGGGAAAAGAATCGTTTTAAATGTTCAAGTTTTCCGTCTTTTAACTCGTGTCATTCAAATGCTATTAACTTCTTTCTCTTCTCATTATTGGTTGTAACATATAAGGGCTTTACAAAAGTAAATGCCAAACGACCAATTACTTCAGAACGTTTATTAGCACGCCAAATATTTCACCATTACTGTCTTCAATCCTGATGTGCAATGAGATTCGAAATGCAGGTAGATTGCGTTCACACTAGGTTTAATGTACAAATTAAACGTAATTTCTCTGTTCTCTAAATGATACGGTCTAGGAAAAGAAAAGTAGGCATCTTTATCCTTTTAATGACTTACCTATTACATGTTTATTTTTGGTCACTCTCCTTATTTGGCAAGTTAATTTGAAACCAATATTAAATTCCTTGCATATTATATATATTTATAAAGAAGGCCTTCTAAATCAAATAAGTCCTGCCCTCCTCCAAAAAATCATATATATTTATCATCTACAAATATTTTATGATTTCAAACTTTCAAACCTAGCATAATTTTCCGTCTATGACATATATATAAAGAAAACAAACAAACAAAAAACTGACAAGGTTCACTTTCCTTCTACAAAATAAATGAGAAAAGAAAACGTTTGTCTTAAAGAAAGTTTCTAGTAAACAAATTGTGATTTACTAAATTTTTGAATTGTACCTATACCCTTAGTTCCTTTTTTAAAATTGATATCATAGTATTTTCATAATAACTAAAGGATGTTACAAAATGTGTCAACGAATGCCTAAGTATTATCAGTCTGAAGCTATAGAGTGCTATAGTCACAACACAGTACTGTTATTGGTAACAAGAGTTTGATTGAGAAATATGATATATATATATATATAATGTATAAGATCTATTAGAGCTGTAGGTAACAACCCAAACCATTAATGAGTACTGCATTTACGAGTATTATCAGAAGAGTTAAGTAACAACCCATACCTTGACTGAGTACTGTATTTACGACTATTATCAAAAGCGTTAGGTAACAACTCATACCTTGACTTAGTACTGTATTTACGACTATTATCAAAAGCGTTAAATAACAACTCATACCTTGACTGAGTATTGTATTTACGACTATTATCAAAAGCGTTAAATAGCAACTCATACCTTGACTGAGTACTGTAGTTACCTAACGCTTTTGATAATAGTCGTAAAAACTCATACCTTGACTGAGTACTGTATTTACGACTATTATCAGAATAGCTATATCGATAATAAAGGATGCTGCCTAATGAAACTTTTTACGTGACTTTAGTTTCGACGGTTGGTTTGTAGTTTTTGTCTGAAACACACGTTTTTAGTATCTATTATTTATACTACTGACCTAGCTTGATTGATCGAAGCTCTTTTTGCTCGAAATTGCGGTCTTCACTTATAACAGTATGAGTTTTGTTACTGAATACGAGTTAGTTTGAAAATGTACACCACACACAAAGGAAAATACTCGCAGAAAAAATCTCTGACAGTTTTTAAATGATGTATGTTTATAAAAAATGATACCAAATATATACATATAGCAATTATAGTACCACTTACACAGATGTTTCTTTTAACAGTTCGATATTTACGTTTATCTATATTGTTATTTTATTTTCAATTTCAGTTTTTGGTGTTTTTTTTTGCTGTTGCTTCTAATATTCATTATATTATTTTAAAGTGTAGCATGATTTTATTGATTAAAATACAGCTTGGAGACAGAATTCTTGAATTTTTATAGAAAAAAAACGACGTCACGACGCTTAACATTGTATGGATGCTTTGCCAACAAGGCGTTCATCTAATTATTGGTAATCAGTAGAAATATGTTTGCACTAAGTATGAATATTGCTCTTTTCTAAATTGCTTACTTACATATCATGACATACATGAAAAGTACTAAAACAAGTGCAGTGAAGTTACCTTTGCTATTTCAAAATCTGAGTCAGCATCTGTTGTAGAAAACCTTGGCTCTTCAATTAATATGGCCTGAACGGCTAGGCTGTTTCTACACGTCTAGTATGGATGCTGCTGATCGCTCCTCTCTTCCAGCACTCTCTCTGTCAGTGGTACGAACTAGCGCAAGATCGATAGTTTTGAGCGCGAAAAAAGGATGCACTGTTGTCAGTCAGGTCCAAGGTCTTGCGCAGAATCATTTCTCTTTCACACACACACATATATATATCAAGGACACTCGAAAGACATGAGAGTTTAGTCCAAACACAGATCTCATGTAAGCGCACTCTTAAATCAATATTCATATGTTCTGAACTAAAGAGAATCCATAGTTATAAGTGCATAAACAAACATATACTGTTAGCAAGCCTGCGTATTTATGAAAATTAATTAGTAAACGGTTGAACGTAATGGCGGCTTGTTTTCTAATTAAGGGAGGATTTACCTTCATATAAAATCATATTACACATCTTAAAGTACGAAATACAATTATAATGGTTTTCAGTCTTTTTCAGGAACACGATCAACTTTCAATTGTAACATTCAACTACAACAATCTGAATTCATATTTTGTTTCATTGCTGTCAAGGGTTT